TTTGGAGGAGAGAGGAGCATCCGTTGCGGTTGGAGAAGAGGCGGGGCTACTTTCACGTATTGCATCTCACTTAAACCTCGAAAATATATGGAAAAAGATCGCATCATCTGGGGTCATGAGGTTCTTTAGTCCACGTATCTACTTGAAAAACGCTCCTGACAAATTGGAAGCAGTCTACAAGTTATATCAAAAAGCGGGTGTTGACAAGGTGAAGACGAATCTCTTTAAAGACAGTAGGTATATCAGGTGGTCGAATTATTTGCACAAAGCCTTTCCGAACGATTTCAAAAGAGTCGCACAGCTAAGAGTGGCGGTACTGGTGGAACATGGACAGGACACACTAATCAACTCCATTCTGACTGCTCAGGTTGTCAGACGTAAATTACCTATTAATAATGACATTGAAGACGCACTGATAGAGTTTCTCGCCAATGCTAAGGGTGTTCAAAAAGAATTTGCTATTCGTCTTGACGACGCACTGTTCACATATGGTAAAAATTTACAGAAATTAGGTGGTGAAACAAAGAGTCTTCATCCGAGAACCTTTAAGGTCATGGGTGAGCGAATAGAAGGTAAACTCCTAGCTCCCAGCATCACGACGAATCTGGTTGACAAAGATGCTTTTCATCCAGTATTGTCATCAAAACGGGAGGGTAGAAGAAAGCCCCATACCTACTTGAAAGAAGCCTCTGATCAGGGAGAAGCAGCTGCCATATTACTAAAGAATTACCACGTTGACACGGCAAACAAAGATCTCTCCGCCACCACTGAGTTCCAAGCTTGGTCAAAAATCATGGCGGACGCCTTTTTAAATGAGCCAAGAAAAAGGAATCACATAGAGGATGTCGCACTATTTATTCTCAAACGCGTATATCCTTAAAGACGACTTGCTGGTTGGTGGCGAAGATTTGAAAGTATCGCTGTTTCGACTCAGTGAGAATTTACAGTTGAGAGGTGGTGACTCAAGAACTATTGGTGAGCGACTAAATGGTGAACTCGTTGTTCGACACATTGGCACTGAGGGACTTCTCTACGTCATTAGTGTTCAGAAATGGTACTTTTCTCTGCCTAAAAAGGAGGGAAAAACTGCTGCCAGCGTTTTATACCAACATTTGAAGCAACAAGGGATCAAATATGATACCATTGGTAACGCGTACCTTAACGCTAAATGCGGTGCCACTGAAATATGATGAAAGAAATAGTTGACTATGTTCGGGAAGGATGGACGAAGATACTGGAGTTGGATACAGCGATCGTCAGTTTCGACAGTTGGATAATGGGCGCAGCACTTTTGAATGCTGACCTTACCACGTCTGTGTTGCCCACATTGCGGAAGTTTTTTCAAAAGAG